CTCGCAATTGCGAGTTTATATCACGCAATTCTGACTTTATTTCTCAGAATTGCGAGTTTATATCTCACAATTATGACTTTTTAACTCGCAATTGCGAGTTTATATCACGCAATTCTGAGAAAAAAAGTCAGAATTGCAAGTTTGTATCACGCAATTCTGATAAAAAAAGTCAGAATTGTGAGATAAAAAGTCGCAATTACCTCTTTTATTTTTTATTCAGTGGCGGAAACGGGCTTCCATATATATGTGTGTGTGTGTGTGTGTGTGCATATACACACACACCTTGCTACGTGTACTGCGTTAGGCTAACCGAGACTTGTCATTTGCACTTATATATATTGTTGCTCTTTTGTTAAGTTTTAATTGCTTTTATTGTCCTCATTTGTAAGTTGCTTTGGATAAAAGCGTCTGCTAAATTACTAAATGTAAATGTAAATCTCTAAACTCTTAGGATCTGTATCACCTTTTAGTTTACTTGTAAGAATGAGACCATTGTACCAGACGCCCTGAGACTATTCAAATAATACCAAACATAACTGTAAATGTCACCTGCATTCATGTAGAACATTATATTCTACTATTGACCATTCTGAGTGAGCTGAGAGAAGGGAAGGATGGGTGAGGGGAAGGAAGGGGATGAGGCGGAACTGATGCATATGTGAGAGACGTTTTCCCGCATTTTCTCTCAGTGAGATGTGGAAACAGACGTCTGTATGTTAATGCACTGTGTGTTTTGTCCGTCTCAGAAGTGTCTGAGGTTCTGTAATTCTTACAACTGAAAAATCATTTCTTTTTCTATGGGGATGCAGTAGCAGCAGAGCATGTTTCTGATGAGAAAGAAGCAGATAGAAGAGAGAACGGAAGCGGTTGGTGGAAAAATCTGACTACAGATGCGTTTCTTTCTGCTGATGCAACCAGAGAATGAACAAAATGAAATGAACGGTAGTGATGAGTCAATATGAAAGGACACAGAGAGAAAGAGAGAAACTCACTCTGAGCCTGCAGCCATGTCCAGGTACGAGGTGTTTGCCGTGTCCACCCCTACTGGGATGACTAAGCTCATGACGTGCTGTGCTGGGAGTCTCTTGTCCTACTGAGTCCAGAGCACAGCAATCCAAAACACTGAGGCATGTCAGCCACAGCACTCATTGCACACATCTAAGTGCATCCACAAGGCCTGCAAAAAGACAGAGGGAAAAAAATCACTTTTAAAGTTTGACAATCAACTTTACACTAGATATAACAGAGCAATAAAAACGTGATGGGGCACATTCATAGACACTACACACAGACAGGGCACATATTACGAAACCTGGGTCATTACAGCTAGTATTGTAAACAGGATGTGACTGTTTAAAAGAGTAACTATGATTCATAAAACAAATATGAGGCCATGGTTGGCCCTGAGGCATGATATCACTCTTGCAGACATCAAGGGTTTCAGTTAACAGGAATACTATACATAAAATAACTTGTTACTTTCATTTTAAATAGATAAACAACTAAAGATCAGGTTTGTGCTGCAACATGTTGGTTTGGGTAAAGTTTCCTTAGCCCTAAAAGGAAAAAAAATCAGTGTTTGAACATGTCCTTTTGTAAGACATGGGAGGGGAAGTGAAGATTGTGTGGCAAAACCGCGTCCAATAACAGTGCTCGACCTTTGTAGAAACAACAAACAGGGTGAAGTGACTCCACATCGACTCAAGGGGGCGCAATTGCATGCTTGGTCACAGCCACCATGAAAGTGGAGGAGGAAGAGAGAGAGAGAGGAAATACAACATGGAGGCGGCCTTTTATATTTTCCGCTCTCATCCATAAACGTCCACTCATCTTGAGCGTGCACAGAGACGTGTGGTTGCCGCATTGCTTGCGAGAGGATTTATTGTGTGCAAAAGGCAAAAGCAAAAAAAACAAAGAATGGAAAGCTTAATGATTAAGCTTTGTATGTGTCGGGTAGAGGCAGACGAAGAGAAGCAGCTCTGTGGATAAAGGAGGGAACAGGCATTGACGGACATCAAAAGACAGCCGCAATAGCCAAACATGGGCTTCCCTTGCAAGTAACGTTTTAGTCCTGGTCAGAGGGGCTAAATATGTCACACTGACATACTTCCCTGAACAACAAACAGGGTGACTGGTGACAAAGGAATTAAAGTATGTGAGTATGTGTTGTAGTGATAAGTGGGACTAGAGGAGGGGCCAGATGCTGGGACATACAGTCTACAAATGAAACCTGGATTTTGGCAAGACTATTCAGCTACAAAACAGATAACAGGATGGAGGAATTCTAGCATTGTGCTAACGACTTCGCCTTACTAATCAATGTCTGTAAAAAAAAATTAAAAAAAGTCCATCAATTATATGTATTAATAATAAATATATTTTTAACATATATATTAGTTTTCAGTCCAATGATCCAGTAAGCGAATGCATTCAAACAATCCGTCCAAAACAACGCTAATATAAAGGAAACCAGGCTGATTACATCAGAACAGAGACTCGTGTTGCGTTTTCAGTGAATTATTCATTCCATTGTGTTTCGCTTTTAAACACGAGCTCTGTCATAAGAGCACGAGCCCTCACACATCGCGCGGTGTGAAGTACAGATTGAACGGACTGTCAACACAACACATGCAAACTATGTTTTCTCGACTGGATAACCAGTGTCTCGTTAGTAAAGTTTTGATGGATGAAGACTGCAATCAAGGTAAAGATGATTGCGGTGGCGTACAGGAGTCGTACAGTAAGCACTCGTGAGTCCGTTATATTAATGCGTGTAGGAGCGCTCTTGACACACTGATCGCACATTGTATTTATGCACAGACATTTCCATACATTCACGTTGTTTCCACACACATTCTCGATAATGTTTTGATGTTTATCATGTGTATTTCACATGACATTGTCATGTGTATGTTGCTGTTTAGTTATTCTGAATGGATCCGTGTACTGTAGTAGATATATGCAGTCAGCAGGCGGTTGGTTTAGGGTTTTTTTGGCATCTCCATGTGGCCCTGTTCAGTATCGCAACTTGACTTCTCTAAACTGTAAAAAAGCTATTTGCTGTTGCACTGTACACATACTATACAATTCTGATATTTTATTTTTTTCTTTCATATGTGCTTATATGGGCTCCTTATATCATTTGGTTCTTTGGTGTCCTTTTGGTGTTTCCTTTTGGAGTCCTTTTTTGGAAAGACATCTATATTTATCTTGAAAAAAGCTTGCAGAAAATACAGATTTTGGAGAATCACCCTTAAATCTTTTGGTTTACTTTGCTGAATATAGCAAATGATCACAAAAACATTTGAAACAAGATAAATGGTCTATGCTTAATTTCATGAAGTGTGCGATTAATCGCGATTAATTAGTTACAAAATTTTAATCTATAGACAGCCCTAATATATATATATATATATATATATATATATATATATATATATATATATATATATATATATATATATATATATATATATATATATATATATATATATATATATATATATATATATATATATATATATATATATATATATATATATATATATATATATATATATATATATATATATATATATATATATATATATATATATATATATATATATATATATATATATATATATATATATATATATATATATATATATATATATATATATATATATATATATATATATATATATATATATATATATATATATATATATATATATATATATATATATATATATATATATATATATATATATATATATATATATATATATATATATATATATATATATATATATATATATATATATATATATATATATATATATATATATATATATATATATATATATATATATATATATATATATATATATATATATATATATATATATATATATATATATATATATATATATATATATATATATATATATATATATATATATATATATATATATATATATATATATATATATATATATATATATATATATATATATATATATATATATATATATATACACACACATACATATTTATATGCATTATTTCTTGACAATATATATTTTGCTATTTATATATTTGATATCTTATATTATCTTAATGTTTATTTAACATTTTAAGAATTATTTACCCAAGCAAACTGTGCAGAGCAATAAAAATTTGTTTTATTACATTTTATTCAAATAGGCCTAGGTGTCATGTGACAATCACTGAATCTTTTCTTTTTACTTGATATTTAAATAATTTGATGAACTAGCATCTTATTAAAAAGAAAACAAATATAAAACTGAAATTCAAAATAATCTAAATTGACAACTATTTACCCACCAAAGCCAATTTTAACCCACATTTGGTTAATTTTGGATCAAGACTGTGATCCAGATCACTGCAAATAAACATAACATGAACTCACATGCCTGCACACAACACACACCTTGACCAGCCTTAACATGCCCCTATAAATACACACACTTACACTTCCCTATGAGGGTGGCATGTCTTCTGATCACTGTTTGGAAATAAGTTACAATGAGACTGTCATCTGCACATGCAGCATGTTGACTTCTAAACTGTGTGTGATGTGCGTGAGACGTGTGTGTGCCCTACGTAGACCATAAAGAGAGAGGCTTTAATCTGACAACATGTGTCCATTAGTGTGTGATTTACTCTGTAGGCAAATAATTCTTGTCCAAGTCAGGTCGCTTTCACAAGCACAGTGGGTCTGATATATTGGGGATGTTTCGACTGCTGTGAAAAATGAATGGAGTTTCACAGCTCTTGAAAAAGCACAGGAAAGAATAGCTCTGTTCCAAATCTAGTGAACTGTCTTGCTGTCTTTTGTTTACATAGGCAGCTGTATCCTGAATTAATTGGAACCTAATAAGTGACTGATTTGGAATGCTATACATAAGCAGCATTATGGCTGTCCACACCAATAGAGACCAGGAGGCGCCTCTCACAATTGATCTGAATAAAGTTTTGATGTTAGCAAAATACAGATCACACATAAAAACTAATTACACTGAAGTATATGCCTTTTCTATCTATATCTCAACTGATTCCACTATGATGGATGTACTACATATGTAGGGATGGAACGGTTACCGGTTTCACGATAAATCACGATAAAATGCCCTGACGTTATCGTTTAAAATTTAATTATCATCAAAACCGTATTTGATTATCGCGATTTTGAAAACTCGCGGTAAATCCTGTCCAGCCAGCATCAGTCTGACGCAGAAGCAAGCAGCATGCAATGTTGTTGTTTTTTTTGTTTGTTTTTTTGCACGAGACGAAATGGCGGAAGGCAGTGACAGCGCTCGGGAGATTTTTCAGCCATCTAAAGGCCAATTCACACCACACCGACAAACGCCAACAGACACGTTGGCCGCTGGATTTAGAATTTTATGAAAAATAACTGTCATGTTCACACTGCCCCAACAGACACCAACAGACTTCAAGTCAGGGAGCGTTAACTAGGGGGAAAATGGATGATACTGTAACAACAATCAAAATGATACTGTTATTAATGTCTTTGGTAATATTGTAAGGCAGTTTTATTATAATAATAATATATTGTCAAATAAATTTCCGTTGTGAAATTTCCCAAGCGCTGTAGCGATCGATCTGATCGCATTCCCCCTCGCGTTGCGGTTGGTATACTCGGCCACACCCACCGCATAAAGCTCTGGCCTCTCCTCCCAAAGATCCAAAAACTGTTCCTCTTTCTGGTTTGTCCAGAAACCTGCCATTTTTAAAGTTATTTTCCTAAGCGCGCCCAGCACCTACTTGCAGTCTTGCCTCATTGTCATGACAACGGCTCGTGGCCAGGTCAGATTACGTCAGAGTTTGTTGTCGTTTATTGGAAAATCATATCACCCTGCTCAGACATTCCACGACCCAACAAACGCCGATTAAACATGTTCAGTCGGGTTAAAACCAACTCCGATCAACACCAACAAACGCCGACAGGGGTAACACACGGATCCAACAAACTCCCACAGACTAGTCTGTGGGCGTTTGTCGGTGCGGTGTGAATTGGCCTTAAGAGGACCAAATCGGTGGTCTGGTCGTATTTTGGCTTTTACAAGAGTCCTGAAGGAAATTTAATAGAGGACGGTCACCCTGTCTGCCGATCTTGCAAGAAGAAAGTCGCTGCAAAATGGGGAAACGCAT